TGAAGCAAAATCCACTTATAATAGAAGCCAATGGGCAGATGTTGAGGCAAAATTCAGTTATTATAGAAGCCAATGGGCAGATGTTGAAGCAAAATTCAGTTATTATAGAAGCCAATGGGCAGATGTTGAGGCAAAATTCAGTTATTATAGAAGCCAATGGGCAGATGTTGAAGCAAAATCACTTATGATAGAAGCCAATGGGCAGATGTTGAAGTAAAATCCACTTATAATAGAAGCCAATGGGCAGATGTTGAAGCAAAATCCACTTATGATAGAAGCCAATGGGCAGATGTTGAAGCAAAACTCACTTATAATAGAAGCCAGTGGGCAGATGTTGAAGCAAAACCTAATTATAATAGAAGCCAATGGACAGATGTTGAAGCAAAACCTCACTGATAATAGAAGCCAATGGACAGATGTTGAAGCAAAACTCACTTATCATAGAAGCCAATGGGCAGATGTTGAAGCAAAACCTAATTATAATAGAAGCCAATGGGCAGATGTTGAAGCAAAATCCACTTATGATAGAAGCCAATGGGCAGATGTTGAAGTAAAATCCACTTATAATAGAAGCCAATGGGCAGATGTTGAAGCAAAATCCACTTATGATAGAAGCCAATGGGCAGATGTTGAAGCAAAACTCACTTATAATAGAAGCCAGTGGGCAGATTTTGAAGCAAAACCTAATTATAATAGAAGCCAATGGACAGATGTTGAAGCAAAACCTCACTGATAATAGAAGCCAATGGGCAGATGTTGAAGCAAAACCTAATTATAATAGAAGCCAATGGACAGATGTTGAAGCAAAACTCACTTATCATAGAAGCCAATGGGCAGATGTTGAAGCAAAACCTAATTATAATAGAAGCCAATGGACAGATGTTGAAGCAAAACCTAATTATAATAGAAGCCAATGGACAGATGTTGAAGCAAAACCTCACTGATAATAGAAGCCAATGGACAGATGTTGAAGCAAAACTCACTTATCATAGAAGCCAATGGGCAGATGTTGAAGAAAAACTTAATTATAATAGAAGCCAGTGGACAGATGTTGAAGCAAAACCTAATTATAATAGAAGCCAGTGGACAGATGTTGAAGCAAAACCTAATTATAATAGAAGCCAATGGACAGATGTTGAAGCAAAACCTAATTATAATAAAAGCCAATGAGCAGATGTTGAAGCAAAACCTAATTATAATAGAAGCCAATGGGCAGATGTTGAAGCAAAACTCACTTATAATAGAAGCCAGTGGGCAGATGTGGAACAAAAACTCACTTATGATAGAAGCCAATAGGCAGATGTTGAGGCAAAATTCACTTATTATAGAAGCCAGTGGACAGATGTTGAAGCAAAACCTAATTATAATAGAAGCCAATGAGCAGATGTTGAAGCAAAACCTAATTATAATAGAAGCCAATGGACAGATGTTGAAGCAAAACCTAATTATAATAGAAGCCAATGAGCAGATGTTGAAGCAAAACCTAATTATAATAGAAGCCAATGGACAGATGTTGAAGCAAAACCTAATTATAATAGAAGCCAATGAGCAGATGTTGAAGCAAAACCTAATTATAATAGAAGCCAATGGGCAGATGTTGAAGCAAAACTCACTTATAATAGAAGCCAGTGGACAGATGTGGAACAAAATCTCACTTATGATAGAAGCCATTGGGCAGATGTTGAGGCAAAATTCACTTATTATAGAAGCCAAAGGGCAGATGTTGAAGCAAAATCCACTTATAATAGAAGCCAATGGGCAGATGTTGAGGCAAAATTCAGTTATTATAGAAGCCAATGGGCAGATGTTGAAGCAAAATCCACTTATGATAGAAGCATATGGGCAGATGTTGAAAGAAATTTCCACTTATGATAGAAGCCAATGGGCAGATGTTGAGGCAAAATTCAGTTATTATAGAAGCCAATGGGCAGATGTTGAAGCAAAATCCACTTATGATAGAAGCCAATGGGCAGATGTTGAAGCAAAATCCACTTATAATAGAAGCCAATGGGCAGATGTTGAGGCAAAATTCAGTTATTATAGAAGCCAATGGGCAGATGTTGAAGCAAAATCCACTTATGATAGAAGCCAATGGGCAGATGTTGAAGCAAAACTCACTTATAATAGAAGCCAGTGGGCAGATGTTGAAGCAAAACTCACTTATAACAGAAGCCAATGGGCAGATGTTGAAACAACTGCCTACTGGCTTCAATTACATTTGTTTAGTGTTTTGAAATTAGACTGTACATAAAACAGTGGTGTATTCCTGTAACTACGATGGCATCGTGACACAGCTCATCAAAATCAGGGCTAATAGCCTCCTGCTAATTACAACATAACCATGAACATATGTAATTTAACCAACCAAACCGAGCTCAGTTTGGTCCCACTGCGCTCCAGACAGTTCAGAAGTCTAACGGCTGACAGCAGGAATCCTCTTAGCACACTTATGTCACAAATCTGGTGTAATCCTAAAGCTCTCAAGCTCTCAGTTATAACTGAAAAACGCAATTCAGATTAATACAGGTAGATAACGCAAGTCTGGATCATCAAAACACAACTAGAAAAACCTAGAATATAATTATACCGTCCCTTTATTAGGGCCAAAACATGATTTTACACTAAAAAGCTCTTATAGAACAAATTTTGCAGCTTCCCTCAGTGCATTTCAGTATTATTTTATGGTTATTTGCTCTAAAAATGCTACAAACAGTTTCAAACCATCAAATTAGCATTAAACGGGAACTTTCTGAGTGAGTAAATTGCTAAATCGTGAACATTCAGAGTGGTTTGGTGTGAAATGCTCTGTTCTAAAGAGTCAGAATCGTTCACAGCGGTGGTGATAGGAACCAGACGTCCACCTCTAAAAGCTCCCTCAGAGAACGTTAATGAACTGATCATCAATATGCTGCCTGATGTTTGAGAAATTTTTTCGTATCATTTACTTAAAAAGGTTTTCGCTTAAAGTTTATTTCACTGCTGTTGGAAGAAAACCCGTATCTGCAAACTGGTAACTTTACAGGAGAAGGGAAAAAGCTACTTTATTATTAATGTAAGTCAGTGGAACCAGACTTCTTTCCAAGTCATTTTGGGCCGTTTCTTTTGGTCCATTCTTCATGAAATGTACATACAATGTATAGGGACACATGCACTTTCAAAATACATCAAAAACTGATATACGGCAAAAATGGATATACAAGGTTTTCTTCCGACAGCAGCGAATTGTAAAATCTATACAGGACAGAAAAATACACAAATGAAGGCTGTACTACAGACAAATATCCCTAAAGACTCGTGTAGGTTCACTGGTGGTTTTGGATAGTAAATAAAATGTCTACATTTGTGTTGTAGTCATGGCGACCCCTGGTTCCTATCACCACCACTGTAAAGACATCTGAACCATTTCACACCAAACCACTCTGAATCTCACTGAATTATGCACAAAATTTGAAAAGTGAGTGGAGTTCCCCTTTAAACCAACTGGGATTAGAATGCAGACTAGACACATTACGACACAGCATTATCACATGATCAGAAATAGCAATGCTTGATTATATAAAACATTTGGTCTTGTCTGTCAGGTCTCGTCTCAAAGCTCATTTAACGGTACGTTTAATTCTCTCTATATCTGGAGTCAAATTAAGCTGTTTTCTGACCTACTTACTTTCTAAATGGAGGAAAACATGAGGCAGCAATTAAAACATGCCACATAGAGACAAAGGCCAAACACTTACAGAGCACATTAGAGTAAAGAGGATAGAGTAAAGAGTCAGGCAGGCCGGAGCACCAGAGAAATCTGTAATCACTGCGGTCACTAAAGCCTTCACTAATCCGCTACTGTCCCACACAAACAACAAACACAGACTCACTGATTTAGAGTCCATTCAGTGATTCACACGCTAAAGCCATGCTCCGACACATACACTGATCAGCCATAACATTATGACCACCTCCTTGTTTCTACGCTCACTGTCCATTTTATCAGCTCCACTTACTATATAGGTGCACTTTGTAGTTCTACAGTTACAGACTGTAGTCCATCTGTTTCTCTGATACTTTGTTAGCCCCCTTTTACCCTGTTCTTCAGTGGTCAGGACCCCATGGACCCTCACAGAGCAGGTACTATTTGGGTGGTGAATCATTCTCAGCGCTGCAGTAACACTGACGTGGTGGTGGTGTGTTAGTGTGAGTTGCGCTGGTACGAGTGGATCCGACACAGCAGTGCTGCTGGAGTTTTTAAACACTGTGTCCACTCACTGTCCACTCTATTAGACACTCCTGCCTTGTGAGTCCACCTTGTAGATGTAAAGTCAGAGACGATAGCTCATCTGCTGCTGCACAGCTTGTGTTGGTCATCCTCTAGTCCTTCATCAGTGGTCACAGGACGCTGTTGGCTGGATGTTTTTGGTTGGTGGACTGTTCTCAGTCCAGCAGTGACACTGAGGTGTTTAAGAACTCCAGCAGCACTGCTGTGTCTGATCCACTCAGACCAGCGCAACACACACTAACATACCACCACCCAAATAGTACCTGCTCTGTGAGGGTCCATGGGGGTCCTGACCACTGAAGAACAAGGTAAAAGGGGGCTAACAAAGTATGCAGAGAAACAGATGGACTACAGTCTGTAACTGTAGAACTACAAAGTGCACCTATACAGTAAGTGGATCTGATAAAATGGACAATGAGCGTAGAAACAAGGAGGTGGTCATAATGTTATGCCTGATCGGTGTATGTTTGCCATATTGCCCACCCCTCATGTAAAGCAAATGTAATGTAATAACTATGTAATTAATTATAGTGATTACATTTGGTATGTCATGTAAATGAAAGGTATAACAGACTGACAGCAGAAGCTCTGGGGGCTTGTAAGGGTTAAACTTTCTCACTTGTCCAGTTTGCATCTACAGGCTCAGCACAGCCTCCCTAAACAGACCTCACTGCATGTTGTAAGCAGGTCAGAGCAGCTCCATGTTAATGTGAATGGAACTCAGTACACTTACCCCATTCTCACAGGGCTGCTCCATCTTCCCTCTGCTCTTCCTGCTGGCCTGGTCCGCCGGCTGACCTCCTGCAGGGCAAACAACAAGATTACGTCATCTCTCAGCGCTCTGAACACTCTGAAGTCAGCGAGGAGCATCGCGCCACTCAGCTCACCTGGATTACTAACCAGATCTCTCCCAGCAGGAGAGGAAAACGGGCTTCTGTGGTTTAAAATGGGGATGAAAACAGAAATTTATTTTACTATATGTTCCACCGGATAATATCCATATGACATCATGGTATACTACAAAAAATAGAATGATTATTATACAAATCTACTTTAGTATGATTACTAATACTACAACTAATAGAAATTTAAACCAATTCATATTTACACAAATTCTGTTTATGAACCTAAAGATGCTGACAGGTTGCAGCTGAAGCGCTTTCTGTTCTTTACTGAGCATAACAGTATCTGCAATATGGCACAACTGACAATATGGAAATCATACCAGTTCATTTTATTCACTTTTAAACCAGTAAACCTTCCAGGCTTGTTCTTCAGTATCTACTATGAGTGATTCAGTATCTACTATGAGTGATTCAGTATCTACTATGAATGATTCAGTATCTACTATTAATAAATCAGTAAATACTATTCATAAATCAGTAACTACTATAAATTATTCAGTAACTACTATAAAATTATTCAGTAACTACTATGAATTATTCAATATGTACTATGAATTATGCAGTAACTACTTTGAATTACTCAGTATCTACAATCAATTATTCAATATCTACTAAAAATTATTCAGAACTACTATAAATTATTCAGTAACTACTACGAATTATTCAACGAATTATTCAACTACTACGAATTATTCAATTATTATAACAATCATGAATTATTCATTATCTATTATGAATTATTCAATAACTATTTTAAATCATTCAATATCTACTATGAGTTATTCGGTAACCATTTTAATAATTCTGTATCTATTATGAATTATTCAGTAACTAATACAAATTATTCAACTAGTATGAATTATCCAGCAATTATTATGAATTATTCAGTCTAGAGTTCAAAAGAGTTTAAAGGGTTTAAACTTGGTTGCTTGATAGATGTGATATCACACAATACGAAATAAATTTGAAAAATTCCTACCTCTTAACACAACTCAAGCCGTCAGCCTGTACCGCCAATCAATCACTCCACAGCAGTGACCACAGAACGAGTCTGGACTGTGATCCTGTCTGATGCGTTTGCCTGATCTACTGCAGTCCGGTGCTGGGCAGCATTAGGCCTCATTAGCAGCCACTCTGCACCTGACCACGTGACTGTCCCCAAAACACAAGCCTGTTTTTCAGCGAGCGAGTGAGTACAGACCTCCAGCTATTTCTCTTTTGTGAACAAACTTTGCTACGCACCCGTCCCGACTGGGCGCTCTATAAATAGGCCTGGGTTTAATTCCCTAAATCCAGAGTTGCATCACTGTGTGTAATCCTGCGGGAGGCTTTGGAAATACCTGCCGCTGTGAGAGTCAGTGTGGGCGGCATGTGGGAGTGGGAGAAAACAGCACCGGCTGCTTCTTTCAGCTGCACATTTCAGCCGCTGCTGAACACCTCAAGCGTAAAAACGCTTTTAAGCAATTAAGGGAAAACCAAAACACCAGCTGAACTCTCTTCGCTACTCATTTCCCCTCTCTCTCTGAGCAGACGCACTATGTTGCTCTTCCCGGCTCCATGCTTATCAACAGGGGGTCTTGCAGCCTATTTGCCCCCTGTAGAGTCCAGACAGCCTCAAAGCCAGAGGCTTAGCTCCATCATGAAAAAACAAATATGCCTCACTTTTCCATTAAATAGAAGAGCCTGATGTAGATGTAAACATTGTACTGTTCACTCCCTAGTCCTTTCAGAACAGCCTGCAGTAAATGTTAACATAACCTCATATCTCCAAAATGGTAACTTCACAGGAGAAGGAAAAAACTTACTTTACTTTTAATGTAAGTCAATGAAACCAGACTTTTTCCCAAGTAATTTTGGACCATTTCTTTTGGTCCATTCATCATGAAATTAACATACAATGAACAAAGGTTTATATACATATATATATATATATATATATATATATATATATATATACATACACACACACACACACAAACACAATGGTTTGGTTGCCAGTTTGTTACCTACCTTATACATACATATCATTGGTCATTTCATCAGAACCATGACCAAATAGGCACAGATACAGACTTTTGCCCATCGGTTGCTGCAGATTCGATCAGGCCCCCTCTGCCCCATTTGTCATCAGTCAGTTTCTGACCACAGAATCACTGCTGACCAGACATTATTTGGGTAGTGTTCCATTCTCAGCACAGCAGTGTCACTGCTAGGCTGGGAGTGGCCTGCTTTGGTCTGTCTCAGGTAGAGAGGTTAGCACAGGTCAGTGGTGAGGAGGCCAATTACCCACAAAGACGATTAGTTACGTAATACAGGTCCAGCCTCGCTGAGCCAGAAGCTGCTGTCACACGTATGTGTGTCACGGAAAATAGGGCTTGACTCAGATAGGACAGGAATCTAAACAGTGAGGAGCCTGGCTCTGGAAAAGGAAATCTGGCAAGCATCACAGTTTTGTCCAGAGTGAAGCATAGACAGTTCGGCCAGTGAATGCTCAAGGTACACTGTGTCCAGAAGTGTCCATTCACCTGCTCATCCAACATTTCTTCCAAATTCCAAAGAGTGGGGTTATCCCCCAGTAACAGCCTCTACTCTTCCGAGAAGGGTTTCCTCTAGATGTTGGAACGTTTCGGCTGGGATCGGATTCCATTCAGCCTTGACAGCAGTGAGGTCAGGTACTGATATTGAATGATTCTGGATCACAAACACCACTCCAACTCACCCCAAAGCAGTTCAATGAAGCCCCATCACTTCACCTCAAACCCAAGATGTTCAATGGAGCTTCAGCAATTCTAATCATCCCAAAGAAGTCCAGCTGAGCTTCATCCCTCCAACTCAGCCTAAAGGTGCTCAAAACAGCTTAATCGCTTCAACTCATACAAGTTCAGTGGAGCTTCATCTGTCTTTTCCCAAAAGGTACCTTTATCGCTCCAACTCATGCCAAAGATGTTCAAGAGAGCAACAGAGAGAAATTATCCCAAAGAGCTTCATTCATTATCCCAAGAGCTTCATTCACCATTCCAAGAAATCCTAGAGGTGTTCAGCAGAGATGTGCTCCAGCACATCTTAAGGGTGTTCATTCCAAATCAAAACCCAAAGGTGTTCATTGGAGCTTAATCACTCCAACTAATCCCAGAGATGTTCAGTGGAGCTTAATCACACCAACTAACCCCAGAGGTGTTCAGCTGGAGTTGGAGCTTAATCACTCCAACTCATACCAAAGATATTCAGCAGAGTTTCATCACTCTAACACATCCCAGAGATGTTCAGTAGAACTTCTTTACTCCAACTCATCCCAAGGCTGCTCAAAACAGCTTAATCACTTCAACTCAACCCAAAAGTGTTTCATGGAGCTTCACCACTCTAAATCTCCCCAATAGTGTTCAGTGGAGCTTCATCTGTCTTTTCCCAAAAGGTACCTTCATCACTCCAACTCTTGCCAGAGACGTTCAACAATAGAGTGAACATATCCCAAAGACTTTGAATACAGCATCATTACTCTAACATATCCCAATGATGTTCAATGGAGTTTCATCACCCCAAGAAATCCAAAAGGTGTTCAGCAGAGATTTACTGGTCGCATCTTGAACGTGTTTAATGGAGCTTCATCACTCTAATTCATCTTAAAGGTGATCAGTGGAGATTCAATATTCCAACTTATCCAAAACATGTTCAGTGGAGCTTCATCACTACAACTCATCATGGAATTCGTCACTCTAATTTATCCCAAAGGCATTTAATGGAGCTTTATCATTCTAAATCAAAACCCAAAGGTGTTCAGTGGAGCTTAATCACACCAACTAACCCCAGAGGTGTTCGGTGGAGCTTAATCACACCAACTAACCCCAGAGATGTTCAGTGGAGCTTAATCACACCAACTAATCCCAGAGGTGTTCAGTTCGAGTTGGAGCTTATTCACTCCAACTCATACCAAAGATATTCAGCAGAGTTTTATCACTGTAACACATCCCAGAGATGTTCAGTAGAACTTCTTTACTCCAACTCACCCCAAAGGTGCTCAAAACAGCTTAATCACTTCAACTCAACCCAAAAGTGTTTCATGGAGCTTCATCACTTTAACTCAACCCAAAGATGTTCAATGGAGCTTCACCACTCTAAATCTTCCCAATAGTGTTCAATGGAGCTTCATCTGTCTTTCTCCCAAAAGGTACCTTCATCACTCCAACTCTTGCCAGAGATGTTCAACAATAGAGTGAACATATCCCAAAGACTTTGAATACAGCATCATTACTCTAACATATCCCAATGATGTTCAATGGAGTTTCATCACCCCAAGAAATCCAAAAGGTGTTCAGCAGAGATTTACTGGTCGCATCTTGAACGTGTTTAATGGAGCTTCATCACTCTAATTCATCTTAAAGGTGGTCAGTGGAGATTCAATATTCCAACTTATCCAAAACATGTTCAGTGGAGCTTCATCACTACAACTCATCATGGAATTCGTCACTCTAATTTATCCCAAAGGCATTTAATGGAGCTTTATCATTCTAAATCAAAACCCAAAGGTGTTCATTGGAGCTTAACCACACCAACTAATCTCAGAGATGTTCAGTGGAGCTTAATCACACCAACTAACCCCAGAGATGTTCAGTGGAGCTTATTCACTCCAGCTCATCCTAAAAGGCGCTCATTTGAAGCTGGAGCTTCATCACTCCAACTCGTCTCAAAGACGTTCAACAGAGTTTCTTCACTCCAACCCATCCCAAAGATGTTCAGTAGAGCTTCATCACCTCAACTTATCCAAAAGGAGTTTAATGAAGGTTCTTCACTCCAACATACCTCAAAGATGTTCAGTCAAGCATCATCACAAAGGTTTTCAATGGAGCTTCCAAACTCCAGAGATCATAATTCATAATTCCACTGCTCCACAGCCAAACAGTGGTGGGCTTTACTGTCCTCTAACTGACATTTAGCATTGTGCATGGTGATATATGTGGCTGCTCCAGAGCATCTTATTCTACAGTCAGTACTTTCTAATAGACTTTACGTGGCTCTGTGTGGGTCAAAATACATTCCACTAATTAGCAAGGTTGTCTAGACAGTGTATGTGTCACCTGCAGGGCTGTAAAGGTGCCTGAATATTCATAACCCTTGGATTAGGAAGTTTTATCTCAAACTGTCCCCCTACTATTCCCACACTGGCTGTAATGTTGAATCTAAAGCATGCGTGAATGTTCTGAAGGTGACTCCGGTGGCCCTGTTCGTTACTCACCCTGCTCGCTCGCCTTGGCAGGTGGATCCTCATGCCGCAGGTAAAACTTCACCTCCTGCCTCCTCTGACCCCATTTTTGCAGGTGCTCAAGCATCGGATGATCTAAAGGGATTGCTCTCTCTGCGAGGAAGAGGATTCAAATTTTCAGCCTCGAACAGAAAGAAACATCACGCTACTTTTCAAAATTACACTGCCAGTTTTTTTCTGTACAACAACCTTCAACTTGCTAGGGTGCGCAGTGATTTGGGAATGATATGGGTATCGGCAGATATTTACTTAAAAATGATTGGCATCAGACAGACTATTAGATGTGATATATTTCAAACGGATATTTTTGTTGATGTATTTATTGTCTACCAAAAGAGCAGAATGTTAAGATGATGATTGTTTACTGGGCTAAATTATCCGTATTTTATTCATTTCACTTTCATAACTTGACAGAAATAAATGGTATACTTCCCTGTAATGCTAAAATATGTGGATTCAATCCTAAATATGCACATGAAAAATATCATAAATCAACAAACTCACAATTTGTATATTTGCACACCTCTAGTATCTACACTCATTGGCCATTTCATGAGAAACATCTACCATATACGTGTAGTTATAAGGCAGAGGTCAGCAACATTTACTGCCCTGTTTGTGGCTCCACAGCAGAATTAGATCTGTAGGTAAAAATAAAATAATCCTCCTTTACAGTAAAATAAAGCTCTGCTGATCGTTCAACATCATCACGATAATTTGGAGATGAATGGACTTATTTGCATTTATAATCACTCCAGCTGGCTTCCCGATACGTTTAATTTGCAATGAGAAACTGTTAAACACTAAAACGTCGTGAGGCTGAAGTCGGATTCTTATTCGCCAGCTTCTTATTCAAACTTTCCCATTCCACCATTTAAGGTGGAAGGGAAAATTCGAACAAGAAGCTGGCGAATGAGAAGCGACTTCAGCCTCGTTAAAAGTTGAACGCTGAGAGACATTTTACAAGTAACTGTTCTACTTTTGTGGAAAAGTTTCCTGCTGGAGATGTGAGAAAAGCAGCTATAGCTGAGCTAAAGCTTAAAGCAGAGCAAAGTAAGTCTGCGTTTTCATTTACATTATATTTTTTAGCCTATATTAGTACATTAGCACATACTGAGAGATTATTGCATTTACATAAGATGGTATAACGTTACTTCAATAAAATTGACAAAAAATGTTGTGGCTGCCAAGGTGGTTTGATTTTTGTTGAACCGATTCGGGTTGCCAATCCCTGGTATAAAGTAAGAAACCTTATAAACTGACAGCTCACTGCCTAATAAGCTCACTCTCCACTGCAATAGATTGTAAATACCTGATTGGTATTAAAATAATCAAACTAAAAATGAAAACTGATTTATGGATGTCCTCCATGGCTCTTAAGATTAAAAAAAGAAGTATATTTTTATAGATGCCTGTAGATGTCTGAAATCTAGGGCAAGTGTAGCACAGCAGAGTGCTGAAGAAAAGTCTGATTGAAAAGGTCTGGTTCTCCTTCCTGAAGGCGAGCTTTACTGAAATAGTCCAGACTGGTCTGACTGAGAAGTATGAGTAGGTCGTTCCAATAACAGGCCCATAGGGGCTTCATAAACAAGCCTTAGGGGCCTGAGACGTCTTGACCCACTTACTGCTACATATGGACAGGGACAGTATTGTTTCATGATAGACAGAGTTATTCTCTGAGGGAGAAGAAGCCAATGAACGTCTCCATTCAGAGCTATTAGTGGTGTAAGAGATCTCAGCTGTGAGTCTTTTTCTGCCTGCCACAACAAGCAGATCCAGAGTGAGACACAACTCTGAGTGTTTCAGCAGCTTTAACAAGGCGCATAACCAGCATAAGCCAACTATGAGAAAATGTCTCATGACATTAATGACAGTATCTGCTGATGGGATCTGTTAAGCCGGTCAGTGATGCACTCTACCCTAAAACAACGGTTTGTTTTAATCCCTTAAACTCTAGCTGACCTGGGTGTGGGTCCACACTTCAATTCCTCACATGTATAACTACAGAACTTATACCTTAGCTTCATAGTACCAAATAATTTACAGTAGAAACAGAATATTTCATAGCAGTTACTAAGTAAATCATAGTAGATACTGAATGATTCATAGTAAATACTGATTAATTCATAGTAGATACTGAATATTTCATAGTAGCTACCAAATAATTCAAAGTAGAAACTGAATATTTCATAGCAGTTTGTAAATAATTCATAGCAGTTACTGATAATTCATAGTAGATACTGAATTTCATAGTAGATACTGAATAATTCATAGTAGATACTGAATTTCATAGTAGTAACTGAATAATTTATAGTAGATACTGAATATTTCTTAGCAGTTACTAAGTAATTCATAGTACATACTGAATAATTCATAGATGTTACTGAATATTTTATAGTAGCTACCAAATAATTCAAAGTAGAAACTGAATATTTCATAGCAGTTTCTAGATAATTCATAGTAGATACTGAATTTCATAGTAGATACTGAATAATTCATAGTAGATGCTGAATTTCATAGTAGATACTGAATAATTCATTGCATTTACTGAATAATTCATAGTAGATGCTGAATTTCATAGTAGATGCTGAATTTCATAGTAGATACTGAATAATTCATTGCATTTACTGAATAATTCATAGTGGTTACTAAATAACTCAAAGTAGAAACTGAATATTTCATAGCAGTTACTAAGTAATTCATAGTAGATACTAAATAATTTGCAGTAGAAACTGAATTGAAAGTAGGTACTGAATAATTCATAATAGGTCCTGCATAATCAATAGTATAAATTAAAAAATGAAATAAAACATAATTAGTAATTAAATTAAAAAGTTTCACATTTTAATTAACGTGTAACAGCACAGTGTGAAAGATAAACAGTGTGAATTCTTTCAGTCTGGGAGATGTAGTTGTTGGGTAGTTGTTAGGTAGTTGTTTGGATTTCTTACCGTTTCCTCTCCACACTTCAGCGAGGTGGCAGCCGCTCTCTCCGGCCTCCTTACAGAACTCCACCACGTCCTTACACAGCGTCTCCGCCGTGATGGGCACCTCCGTCAGGAGCTGCTCGTTATCACTCAGGAACACCGGGATAATCATCTGGGAGAGGAAGAGGAGGATGGACGATAACTGACCGTTTCTCAATAAGCCTGCAGTTTCATAGGGTTTAAAGGGGGTTTCAGGAGTTCTAATGTACCAAATTCAATATTCATCTCAGAACAGAAGAAACTTCTGTCAAAATAGAGCAATATCCTTTCAGACGTGTTCAGTCTCACTTTATATTGTGCGTCTCTAATAACTGTGTAGTTACACATGAATAACATATGCAACAACACTGTAACTACTGATGATTTAGCCAATGTTACAGATGGATTATGGAAGTACAGCCTATGTAATTACACATGTGTATCAACTTCAGTTTTGCTTCATGTAATTACACAACTGTACTTATTTGGTACATTACAGATCAGAAGTCTTTTCCAGCAGTTAAAGGAAGTATGTTTTATATAATTACTGTGGAATAACTGTGTTGTAACAAGGTAGCCTTAATTACATCACATTGATTATTACCATTCTGTAATTACACTGTACTTACATAGCAACTACACAGGTACTTTCCTGTAGTGCAATGTTACACTTTAAAATAAGTGGACAGCTCCTGTGTAGTTGTTTTATAGGTAGTGTTTAATAATGTAGTGGTAATATAGACATTGCTTTGGGGAAATGCAGCACATTTAATTAATATTATGAAAGTTATATTTTAAGATAAGTGGTCATCTGCTGTTCTGTCACATTACAGAATGGTTTAAAGCTGAAACTGGTTACAGTGTCACAGCGATAGCAACATAAACACTAGCTGAATGTTAGGAAAGCTGGCAGATACAGTGTAAATAATGTCTTAATGTAAGTTATTACATATTTTCTTTTACTGCTGGAAAAAAAAAACTTCTGAAACAACTGCTGTTCCAGTCTCATTACAAATGTAATTACATTTGTTATTACCCATGTGTAATTACATGAGACATAACCGGCTGATAGCTATTAAGATACACTTGTGTAATTACATGAGGCAAAACTGAAGTTGATGTGTAATTACATAAGCTGTACTTCTGTAATCCATCTGTAACAGTGATTAAATCATCAGTAGTTACAGTGTTGTTGCATATGTTGTTCATGTGTAACTACACAGTTATTAGAGACACTTAATATAAAGTGGGACCACATGTTCTGCTCTTTCTGTCAGAACTCAGTACATCAAAAAACGGAACATTTAATACTCGGGACAAGATGAAGACTCGACAGCCCAACTTTCAGAGGTGATTTAGAGCACCAGCTGCGTCACTCGCAGACCAGCAATCTTAACTTTTCTCAGAACTTACATAACCCCACTCACCACTCTCAGGAACATTTAAGATCTTTCCGGGGGGTCCGTCACAGAGCAGCTTTAGCCACACGGCTCAGGGAGCTGTGTGGCTAAGCTGTGGCCACAAATCTAGCCAGCGAAACTGACGACTCAGCAAACAAACCATAGAGTTTAGAGATTTACAAGACCTCGGTTGCTTTAAGATTTGTGGAAATGTGTTTCCACTTTTGGAAAAACCTCCGCTGCTGGAAAGCTCGCCTCAAGGTCAGACTAGGTTTTAAAAACTCCCACACGCATCACAGTTTCACTGTCATTATCAATTATATCTGCAGTCATTCATTTGATGACGAATCAGCTAATTAGAGTTTTCAAAAAAATCAAACCGCAAAGAAAAACAAACCATGCAGAACTTTTCACAGACTCCACAATACCTTACTGAAAATGATGAACTAAGACAGCTCTAAAAACACTCCATTAAAAATGTTTTAAATTTGATACACTCTCTTAAAACCGATGGTTCTTCGAGGGTTTTATAGAACCATGAACACTCAAAGAACTCTTTGCATGATTAAAGGGTTCTTTGCATCATGAAAGCTTTCTTCAGATTCAATAAGGTTCTATACAGAACCAGAAAGGGTTCTTCTATTTTTACAAGCTCATACAATAACAATAGCAGAACCCTTTTTGATGCTGTATAGAAGTCTTTTCAAAATGATTCTATATAGAACCATTTACAGCACATTCTCCATCAATCTGAAGAACACTTTGATCATGTAAAGCGTTCTCTGAGTGTGCATGGTTCTAAACAGATCCATTCTCTTTACTAAAGAACCCAACCAAAGAGCCATCTTTTTAAAGAGTGTACAGTGGCAAGAATACACATGTGAACCTTTTGGAAATACCTTGTTTTCTAAATTAATTTGTCATAAAAAATGATCTTCATCTCAAGTATAAAGAAACACAATGTGCTAAAGCTAATATCACACAAACAATTATAATCTTTCAAGTCTTTATTGTGCACACCAATTAAACACTCACAGTGCTGGTGGAAAAATAAGTGAACCCTCGGATCTAATAACTGGTTGAACCTCCGGTAGCTGCAGATCAGACCTGCACAACGTTCAAGAGGAATGTGGGACCATTTCTCCTTACAGAACTGCTTCAGCTCAGCCATATTAACCCTCTATTGCATAAATTATAACAAACGTAATAAAAATGTTTGAATATGTTTGTATTATTTAAAATTGCTTAAATAATGGAAATATTTGAAAAAATATATATATGGTTTTTTTTTTAAGTGGGGTATTTGGTAAATGTTGCCATATGGCAACAATGCGGTATCGTACCATAGCACCATAAAATCTGATTAAATTTTATAATAAATAATTCTCTAAAAACACCCTTTTAACAAGACTCACAAGACTCAACAAATTCAGCTTGTACTTAGTGAAATGTACAACCCAATATTTACAAATACTGGAAATTAATACAATTTCAATTGGTATTAATAACATGGTAATAACATCATTACAAATATTCATCATCATGTGATGTCATAAAGCATTTGTCCCTTCAAAGTAAAAGACCATTTTTTCTGCAACTAAATAGGAAAACAGATTTTAGATTACTGCTTTTTAGTAAAATTGAGAAAAAGTAGTTGTTGTCATGCGGCAACACCGTGCAATAGAGGGTTAATCAAATGTCCAGTGTGAACGGCTCTCAATGGCTTTCCACAGCATCTCTACGTTGTTTTGAGTGTTTTTATTGGGTTTAGGTCCAGGTTCTGAGTGGGTCACTCCTAAAGGCAAAATTTATTTTTTAAGTGTTAGGAAATTGAAACAGATCAGACGCTCACAGATTAAAAAACAAGGTGGTAGTTTACTTAGAGGTATAGGAGAATCACAAAGAGGGTAGCCGTAAGGTCAAAACCAGAGAGCTTAAGAATCATAGCTAAGTGGACATCAAGAGAGTAAAACCAGTTACCTGTTCAAAACCAAGAGATCATAATAATCACAGCAAACAAACCAATAAAGGCAAACATGAACACAGGTAGGTCAAAAAACACGAAAAACAGGTCATACACGAAAAGGCTTACCAAGACAGAACAGTGTCCATCAAGGAAGGTTGGCAATACTTCGCAATGTGCTAGTCTAAAGCCTGAGCTTAAATACTGACTAGCTAATGACAAAAGATGACAAACAGGTGTGTGAGTTCAGAATTCCGGTGAGGAGGAGCGTAGAAATGAACGTTCATTGGTGGATGGTGAAGTGAGAGGAGTCACATAATCTTCCAATGGCTTATGGGAGTTGGAGTCCTCTACCCTGACAATGGACTTATCCCACAAGAGAAAGAAAACAGGCGAAGGAGGCTTCCACAGCGGAACGTGTGACATTAAGCAATTCTGTAGTAGATTTACTTTGATGTTTAGGGTCATTATCCTGCTGCATCACCCAGCTTGTATTGAGCTTAAGCTGGTGGACAGCCACCCTGACATGATCCTGTAGGACACATTGATAAACTTGGGAATTCATATTTCCCTCAATGATGGCAGTCAGGTCAAACCCAGAGGCAGCAAAACAGCCCCAAATCATGATGCTCCCACCACCATACTTCACTATAGGGATGATAAAGCCTGAGCTTAAATACTGACTAGCTAATGATGAGAGATGACAAACAGGTGTGTGAGTTCAGAATTCCGGTGAGGAGGAGCGTAGGAATGAACGTTCATTGGTGGATGGTGAAGTGAGAGGAGTCACATGATCTTCCAATGGCTCATGGGAGTTGGAGTCCTCTACACAGTCCATGGACTCAACTGGATTCCGCAGGAGAAAGAGAACAGGCGAAGGAGGCTTCCACAGCGGAAGGCGTGACATTAAGCAAATCTGTACTAGATTTACTTTGATGTTTAGGGTCATTATCCTGCTGCATCACCCAGCTTGTATTGAGCTTAAGCTGGTGGACAGCCACCCTGACATGATCCTGTAGGACACATTGATAAACTTGGGAATTCATATTTCCCTCAATGATGGCAGTCGGTTCAAACCCAGAGGCAGCAAAACAGCCCCAAATCATGATGCTCCCACCACCATACTTCACCGCTGGGATGATGCCGTCATGTTGGTGTGCAGTGCCCTTTTTACGCCATGTATAGTGCGGTTTGTTCTACCCAAACAATTAAACCTTAGTTTCGTAAGTCCACAAAACCTTTTTGGAGTGTTGAGGGGCTTTTTGACAAGTTTCAGGTGTGCAGCGATGTGTTTTGTGGAGAACAGCAGCTTCCTCTGTGATGACCTGCAATGGACACTATGCCTGCTCACAGTTTTTGTATAACAGACTCATGATAAGAGATGTTAACCAGTCTCAATGATTCTTTCAAGCCTTTAGCTTTTACTCCAGGATTCTTTTTACTTCATTGAGCATTATGCAGTATACTGTTCACATACTTCTTCTTGCCACTGTGTATGCAGCTTTTGCCAGCTTTTTACCCGGCTCTGGGTAACTCTTTCTTTTAGAGTCCCAAAGTTGTAGGTATTTACCAGGAAAGTGTGAGGTTAAAACACCAAAGTACTAGATCAGTGGTTCCCAATTTTGTTCTCAGAGCCCTCCAGATGGTCAACATTTTTCCTTCATCCTTATGTGTTGTGAGTTGGAAGTTGGAACAAAAATCTGGACTGTCTGGAGGGCCCTGAGGACCAGGTTGGGAACCACTGTACGAGACAATTATTTTGGATAAAAT